GAATATTTCCGGATTAATTTAAAACAGCAAAAGGAATTCCTTTATTTAAAACAGGTGATCCAAAAGATAGAACTTTAAACCAATCTCATTGTTAAGCGTTTTTTCCAAGGTTTTAGAGCGTAATGTTAAGTAACAGTTGTTGGAGTACATTCATAAAATATCTATAAGTATAAAGAGGATGTTTGTATATTAGGCAGTGATAAACTCAGACACCACTGAACCGATTGCCACGAAACTTGGTACATACGTGTAGAATTTCATGGAATAGGTTTATACACCATCAATTTCGTGATCCGTCCAATCGGCTCCGCCCCAGTGGCTCTGGAGTTTCCCATGTTAACCTTATGAGAAATGGAATTATTGAATCTTGACAGCTGTTTCAATTAAACAAGTTGGTTCTGTTCTATGATGTTCAATAGCATTAAAGTTACAAGGATTACCAACAGGGTGCAGCACTATTATTTATTTTACATTTATGACAACAGCTAATTTGCAACCAAAAGGTGAGTGAGCATAGCGAACAAACTTCAACCTGGAGGCGAGTTAGCGTAGTGAACGAGCTAACCTGAAGGCAAGTGAGCGTAGCGAACGAGCTAACCTGAAGGCAAGTGAGCGTTGCGAACGAGCTCCAACCTAAAGGTGAGTGAGCACAGCGAACGAGCTCCAACCTAAAGGTGAGTGAGCGTAGCGAACAAACTTCAACCAGGACGTGATTGAGCCATGCGAACGAGATCATCTTGAAAATTAAACGTAACGGTACTTTCTTTCCATCGGTCTGTCTTAGGGGAAACCTATAACTTAGGCTCGATGAATCTTATAACAACTTTCACAGGGCTATCCAAGGAATACTAAATGAGACCTGCCCAGTAAAAATGACAAGGAGGAAACAACACAATCAAAAAAACTGCTGGGATGCTGAATGCTCTAGACTAAAAAGTCTATATATATAAATGCCCTGGAAAAAGAAAACTGCACAGGTCTACCTGAAGATAAAGCAGAAACCGCAGCAAGAAAAAGGGACTATGACCTAAAACTAAAGACTTTGAGGAAAACTCAAACATCCGACTATATAAGCAATGCCGACAACAAGTCCAAGGCACTCTGGCAGGTTATAAATAATGAGAGAAAATCAAGTACCAGTATAGCAAATGAGTGGGAACTCCTAGTAGATGGGGAGACATTACAGGACCCAATCAAAATAGCAAACCACCTCAACAGTTTTTTTGCTACAGCCGCGGAAAGGACACTTCAGGCAAACAACACCAACACACACACCAGAACCCCCGAAATTCCTCCTTTAACAGCTAACAAACTACAGTTTCAGCTTGCAACACGTAACTAAGTACTAAAAGCAATAGACTCACTTAAACCAAAAACTTCATCTGGCACTGATGAAATATCAGCCAAACTGGTCAAAACATGCAAAAATGAACTGATTAACCCACTAACAGCACTCATAAATAAGTCTCTCAAACAAGGGGTCTTCCCAACACAGCTGAAAACTGCCAAGGAAATAGTCCAGGTCATGGGAGTCTAAATATAAAAGTGGACCAAACACAGATGCTACAAGTTACAGACCAATTTCACTTATACCGACCTTTTCTAAAATCTTTGAAAAAATCGTCCTTAACAGACTAATATCCCATCTAGACCAAAACCTGCTGCTCACCAGCTAGCAACATGGCTTCCTTAAAGGAAGATCCACTTCCACTGCCTTAATACAGCTCACCGAGCACATAATAGAACAACTAGAAGACGGCTCCTCAGTCACAAGTCTGTTTCTGGACTTTAGCAAGGCCTTTGACTGCCTTAACCACAAGACACTTCTTAGAAAATTGGGAGCTCTGGGTATTGAGGGAAAGTCTAAACAATGGTTCCACAGCTATCTTAATGGCAGATAGCAACTAGTTGAGATTCAGCATGTAGAAAAAAACACTCGCCATAAAATACATTCCGAAACTGTCCCTATACGGAGAGGAGTACCACAGGGATCAGTTCTCGGACCAGTCCTGTTCCTCCTCCTCACAAATGACCTACCAGACCAGCTACAAGAATACTGCCAAACCACAATGTATGCAGATGACACTGTCATCACACTAACTGACAAATCAACGGAAACTTTAAACCGAAACATCAATATAACCTTCAACATGACTAAACAATATTGTACAGTAAACGAATTGGCTCTAAATGAAAAGAAAACTGTTCAGCTGAACTACTCTACTAAAAATAAAGACACAAACGTATTAATCCCTGGGATAGAAGCACAAAATAGTACCAAATATCACAGCATTATCATGGATTCAAAACTGACATGGAAACAGCACATTGACCAACTCTGTAAGAAGCTACGCTCTGGCATTCATGTTATCAGGCGAATGAAGCAGGTTGGTGGTCTGGACACCGCAAAAACAGCCTACCATGCCCTGGTCGAGTCACACCTCAGGTATGGTCTGGTGGTCTGGGGAAGTACATCCAACAACTACCTAAAAAGAGTCCTTATCCAACAAAAAAGAGCTATAAGATGTCTAGCAGGCCTTCAATATCAAGAAAGCAGTCGTGATGCATTTCAGGAACTAAAAATCCTCACACTGACATCACTTTACATCCGTGAGGCAATTCTCCATGCCATCTCCACAAATCAAACAAGAAACAGAGACATTCACCATCACAATACACGGAACGCCTCAAGCTTTGCAATACCACCTCACCATCTAAGTCTCTTTGAAAAGAAGCCATCCTACAAAGGGGCCCTGTATTTCAACAACCTACCAGAACAACTTAAAAATGAACCAACTCACCGTTTCAAGAACCAATTAACAACATGGCTGCAAGAAAGGCCATTCTACCATATTCTACTCAGAAAAAGAATTCCTTGACAACCAGCTTTAACAACATATTAAATCAACAAATTTTAATTATTATTCTGACGCATGTACTGTTCTCAACAAATATGTAAATAAAGATCATTGTCTATTGTCTATTGTAATACGGCAGCGTAAACACCGCTGCCATGTCATTTCACATCATTTCGCTGTACTTGTATGTCATTTCACATTTTGATGAGCGCTATGCTCATAGAGTGGAAGATCTTAATAGATCCACCTGTTGAGACTCCTTACTCTACACTGAAGTCTGAAATAATCGGTTGTCTCTATTCAAGGAGCAACATATTTGTCAGCCATTAATGGAGGAGGAACTGGGTGACAGAGCTCCTTCTCAGTTCCCACACCCCCTTTAATCATTTGTAGGTTTGACCACAATACAAGATAGATTACTTAAAACTATTTGGATGCAGAGACTTCCCGCTCATGTACAAAGTATTTTACAAGTGCAGACAAGCGCTCAAACTGACACAATGGCAATTACTGCCGATAAAATTCTAGAGGTACAACCTAATGCATCTTTTTGTCTTCCTCCCGCTAGTACATCTTTAAATGCTTTTCTAATAGCTCAAAATTAAGTGTAGTTTTGACAAAACTATCTGCTTTAGAGTTACAAATGAACAATATGCTTAATTGATTCCCAACGTGACAGGCGAACTAGGTCTCGTCAGAGCAGTGGCGTGCCCATGATTTTGCCCTGAGGGGGTTCGGCCTCTCCGGGGGGTATGGAATACCACCCAGCCAGGCGGGGGGTCCAGGAAAATACATGTTCAATATTGCTGATTTAGGCTGTCTAAAAGTGCCATAAAAATGCTAAATATCATAATTAATCTTTATTTTTTTTATTTTGGGTCCAGTCCCCCTCGTCCCCCCTGTAGGTACGCCCCTGTGTCAGAGGGGTTTGTCTAGTAACCCTTATCAGGCAGGTAACTCATCTAACACTTCAGAGCAAGCAAAACTATGCTATTACCATTAAGTGTTTTGGCAAGCAGGCTTAGAAGTGCATTCAACCATGTACAATTTCACTTTTCCAAAAAAATTTCTAGGCAGTGAGTCTGATGGATAACCTCTATAGCTGCCACCGCCTTCGCCCATCACTGTTTTGATTAGACGTAAAGTCCTAAAAGGCATTTGCACTTTATTTTGGAATTGGAAACCATCATTTTAGTGTGAAAATTGTATCAAAACAAACACAGTACTTGTTATGGTTTACTAAGAAATATAATCAATTGTTTTTCTTTTTTAAAGTGCCATTAACTCAGCTACATTATTATAATGAATTTTATGTATAAGGGTTGATTGTAAGGAAAACAAAAAGAGACATTAAAAACATTTGTTTACTATTACATACAATCAAATAGCAAGTTATGTGTAATCAAAATGTACAATGAATAACAGTTTTACGGATAATTATTATATACATACTAAGTGTCCCTTGAAAAAGTAGGACATTTTTGAATAAGTATTCCAGAATTACTATTCCAGCTCCGCTGTTATATTTAATTCATATATCAAAAATACAACCCATGTTACATTTGGTTCTGATTAATCAGGACAAAATGGGGAAGCAACAAAACATTTAGAGTAAAACTATTTAGGCCTATATTTACTTCAGCATACCATTTGGCGATAGCTGTTTTTACTATTTCAAAAGAACAAAATAAAACATTATTAAACACTTTTTTATTCACAGACTGCTTGAAAGTGACCCAATAATTAATAAAATTCTAATAAAATTGCTTTAGGGAAAACAAACGATTATTTTGTTCTGTAATGATGTTCTGCAATCTGTAATTCTGTTCTTATTAGTCAAATGGAATCAGATGGGACTGGGGGTTTTTTACACATGAGTTAGTTTTGGTTGTGGAGTTTTATGTTTGATGCATCTGGTGTATGTAATTTAAAAAAAGTGACCTCTTCATGGGACATCCTATGTATCCTATACCTTTGTTGTAGTCATGTAATGAGAAAACTGGATGTCAAGGAGTAAACAACTATTTTTACTGTTAGAGTTATTTCAAATAACTGTATGTTATGTTCTTGCTAGTACATAAAAATATAGTAACTTTTTAGTTTAACGATTATGTCTAATACAAGTTAAAGAGACTCTCTTAAGAATAAACAAACTAAAATATAAATGTCTTATAATTAGACAAAAATATTACATGTCATCTTTAACACTGATACTCATTGCTGCTTTTATTTTCTACCCTAATATAAAGTTGCATTTTTTAAATAATAGCAATAAAGTGTTCTATAGTGACAAATAAGAAGAATTATTTGTTTTAACCTCCATTTACATAATATTTAAATTATGCCTAACTACATTTAACTTCTCATTTTTAGGGTTTTAATTACAATATGGGACAAGATTGCTTGCTACATTGTCACAATGTATGTATTACATCTTACTGCATATAGTCGCAGGGTTGACTTTATATTCTCCCTTGTTTAATATTGTTAATAATAACCTATTAAGAACCAATCAGCCTCAAAGTCTTTGTATTACTTTTTTGAACAGAACATTTTTCAGAAATGTCTTTTTAACAATAAAAATTACTTTGTTTGATATACAGTTTATTTTACTTAAAAATCTAACACATAATTGTTTTCAACACCACAAAATTGTATTATTCACGAATCTATGTGTATTTGTGTGACCTGTTTATTTTCTAACATCTTAGCATCGCATGAGTCATTAGTAAATAGCTAATACAGTACTATTAACAAAGTGAAATATAAGGAAATTACTTCACATTTTCTTTTACAAGGCAAACAACACAGTGCTTCAATAAAAATAGGCAAACTGTCTATGTGAGAAGCTATTTTAAAACACACAAACTGTATACAGCAAGGACTTGTATTTTCTTCTCAATCTTAATGCTTAATTGATCTTAAAAGAACAATTAGGTTTTTTAGTAGAACAACAATAACTTAATCTTTATCGTCATAAAATTTCATACCGGTACAAGATTAATTTTTTATGTCCACTTTGGTTGCATTTTGAATTACATGGAGCTAAATTGTGTGATCATTACCTTATCATTAACAAACAATTAATGTAATCAGCAACTTCAATAACATCAACAGGACATAATTAGGTTTAACTCCGTCCAGCTTCCAACCTTAGGGTCATAAGTTTCATTGCAACATCTTTCAAGTTGAGACGTAAGGCTTCACCGAGTAATGTATTTCCGTATTGATTAACACAGTTGATAAAAATACTTAACTCAGCAGAGGCAATTTTCAATTTTAAAAGACCAATCACTTTTTCATGCTTTCTTTTTAGTTTTGAGAAGAGCACTGAAACACTCTTGAGAAAATCAACAACTTCTGTATGACCTTCTTTTTGTGCCAAGTCAAATGGAGTGAATCCCTTCGGTCCTCGATAGTCCAGGCTAGCACCGTGACTTAACAGCAGTTTGCATATTTCCAAATGGCCAGCTTTGGCAGCTACATGTAAGGCACTGTAGCCTGCTCTATTCACAGTGGATATAGTTGCTCCTTTATCCAGAAGAATCTCAACTAATTCTTTGTTACCTACAGCTGAGCATATGTGAAGAGGGTAATCACTTGAATCTTCAAACTGACAATTGACTTCTGCACCTCGCATTAAAGCACTTTTGACAGACACAATCTTATTGTCTGTAATACTTTGTTTGAACAGAAATTGAGCCTTCAACAGTTTTAGAACTTTTGAAGAACTTTTGAGTGATCCGAATGGAGGAAGGTCGTGAAAAGGATAACTGTATTTCCAAAATAATCTTAGGATTTCAGGACAATCACTTTTTATTACATCATTATACACTGGATTTCCTTCAAACTTTTGAAAGCAGTTAGCACCATGAGCTAAGCATAGCTCCACTAAATCATGTACTTTATGACATATTACAAGCCGCAAAATAGAACCATCTCTTGGGCTTAAAGGCTGATTTAAATCTCCCCCAAATAGTATGTATTCCTCAAGTGCAATCCAATTTTTGGAATAAAATATAAGATGAACTGGCAACTTTCCTTCAAAATCTTTGACATTGATATCTGCTATGTTTTCTAAAAGGCATTTGATTATTTTTCTATGATTTGACTTATGGTTTTCCTTTAATAATACAGAATTCATTGAAAATGCAACATGGAGAGGTGATATATTATGTATTAGATCTATGGCATTTACATTAACCCCGCGAGTCAACAACAGCTTTGTTGCTTGAAGGTTAGAAGTGCATATAGCAATCTGAAGTGCTGTTGCAAAGGGTAAAGGCAATGTATTAAAGCTATAACCAAATGGAGTGAAAACTCTGTTGACATTGACACCAGCCTCTAGAAGAACTTTCAATATGGACGTATCTTCTAATTGCACAGCTATAAAAAGTGGAGGTGCATCATTTTTAAACAAACCTTCTACATCTGCACCGTGGTCAATCAGGAGTTTCAAAATTTCAATAGAGCGTTCGATGATGGCACAAATCAATGGAGTTATACCGTGAGGTTTGTATGAATTTACATTAACATTTTGTTCCAGAAGAAATTTCACAATTGATACATTGTTCACCTTAATAGCAGTCATCAAAGAATCAAGTTTTACCAAGCCATTGTCATAAATGTCTCCATCCTTTGGGAATCCTGCTGATATTATGATTTTGACAATAGAGAGAGAATCATTTTCTATAGCATGATATAAAGGAGATTTCCCTTGTCTATCAAAAATATGCACATTAGCTCCAGATTTAATTAGCAAATCAGCTATTTTGTGGTGTTTATGGTGCAAGGATAGACACAATGGCCCCATGTTGTCAAGGTAACCCCAGTTTACATCAGCTCCTTCTTCAATTAAATGTTTGCAGATATTTTCTTCTCCCATGTAAATAGCAGCTATAAGAGGAGTAATACTTTTACCTTGAGGATTTTTTCTAAACCGCTCATAGCATTTCATCACCGCTATGATTAGAATTGGGTTCAGGCTCGGTGTTTCTTTTACTATTGAGGAAATCAAACTCTTGTCCTTTTCTAGGATTAATCGGTGAAGAATCCCTTTGTTTCCTTTCCTGCAAAAATTGAATTGGTGTTAGTTTTATACAAAATAATACCACGACTACAAATTATCTTCTTATATATAAAAAAAAAACTTGGTTTTTCTTTTCCGAGTTCGTTTGGCTCTTCTACCCGACCGATTTTAATGATTGAGGTCTCAAATTGAAGGTTTGCACGCACAAATTTGCCATCAAGCATCGACATATAATTCTATACTCTCAATCGGTTTATACGTAAACAAAATTTGCTCTCCATGTATTTCTTATGGGAGTTAAATTTGGTTTCTTTTTGCCAAGTTCGTTTAGCTCTTCTACCCGACCGATTTTCATGATTGAGGTCTAAAATTGAAGGTATGCACGCACAGATTTGCCATCAAGCATCGGCATATAATTATCTATAGTCTCACTTGGTTCATACGTAAATGAAATTTGCTCTGCATGTATTTCTGTTTTTGCTGCAGTATGACGAAAAATGATGTCAACAATCAGCACAGTACCCATTATATCAATAAAATTGGCTAAACATGCTAGTTTGTTGATGTTGATAATATTAACTTAATAACATTCACTAACTGTAGTAGGCCTGTATTAACTGCAGGAGGCTGCAAACTAGTCTAGTCCTACTGTTACGATGGATGTTTTCGGTTGGAACGGGTTTTATATATGAAAAATAAGTGTTTTCAGTAAAATTAAAAATACACTCAATTGATCAACTTAAAAAAAAAAAAACAATTAGTTTCCAAGATATTAATAGTGCTAAACCAGGAGAAATTCGTGTATGGCATCTAAAATTATTTTGTGACAAAGATTTGTCTGAATAAAAATTTTGAAGCAGTAAAACCTCAATAGGTAAATGTTATTGAGCTATGCGGTTAGCAAGCTCATTGACCAACGTTATTTATAATGGATAGGTATAGATTTTAATGCAAAACTTTGAAAGTGGATTCCAAACAATAAATTAGTTTAAATATCTCGGTGATACAAGACCAGGTACAACAATTGAAGCAAGCGAAGTTCACAATTTATTAGTTGTTTCATCAATCAAATCAAATCTCTTTATTGCCATTAAGTACATACATTCATACAATAGGCCAAGTCAAAATTAGTTATAAACTTAACTAAAGAGGTACAATGAGACCATAACTAAACATTAAGTGCATACGGATTTGAACTAAAATTTTCAGTTGTATTTTTTTTTCAAAATACTCTTTAACATGATAAAAAGGATTTACTATTAACCAGTTGTACAATCTAACTTTTAATACAGAATCTGGTTAAAGTCTTCATTCATGGTGAAGTATATTGAACATATTTAAACTCAAAATGGAATGGTTCTTGGCACTTAGACTAAGTCGATTTTGGAGCAAAGAGTTATGTCTTGTGTCATGTGCATGAAAATCCCTTCTAATAACTAAATTACTTAAATTACTTTTTACATAAATTAAACATACAAATATATACAGATTAATTACAGTTAATATCTTAGTGCTGGTAAATAAAAGCCTACAATAAGCTTTAAATGGAGATCTAGTTATTATTCGCATGGCTTTCTTCTGCAGTAACAAAACATCTTCAATACAACTACTGTTCCCCCAGAGAATCAAACCATAATTTAAAACAGATTGAAAAAAAAACAAAATACGCTTCTCTAACATATTATTCAGGCATTGGCGGCGATAAGAACCCGCGGGCCCCCTGCAAGTTTGTTTGCCGGGCCCCCCTCCCTCAAAGATCTTTAAAAACATTTTCCCATGTATTACCGCCTAAACTTGCAATTTTGCAATAAACTTGATAAGGCGTCTCCCGAGGCGTCATTATCGTCTTCCATGATCGCGGCAAAATCGTAAACACTTCCCGTAGTTATAAGTCATGGAAGAAACATTATCATAGTTTACCGTGATTGCAAATGCAACCAAACCTATGACATCATTAGATAGCAGCATCTTTGTTTCCCGCGTTCACGGCCCAATCTAATATCACGGCCTAATATCTCCCCGCGACCCGTCGGTGGTGACGGGTAAATCATTTTTCCGTAATCACGGCTAAATCCTAGATATATCTCTCGCTAAAAAAGAAACGTCATTATGCCTATCGTCTTCCGCAATCACGGTAAAATACTGAACATCTGCGGCCGCGGAGACATCGTCATCATCACCCGCGGGGAAATGTTCTCGTCGATATCCGCGATCGCGTCAAAAGTGTAGGCCTGATCTTTCAATTTCGTGAGCGTGATCCTCAAGGATATAAAAGCTTTAACTTTTAATTGTGCATTATTGTATTGAGTATTGAGAAAATCGGCTCGAGCTTGATTTTCTGACTTTGTGCTTGATCTCTCAAGCTTGTAGTCCAGGCCCTGCTCGGCTCGAAAATCGTTATTATAGGCCTATTATAAAAATCAACCTTTTCCAAAACAGCCTGATTTTGAACCGATCTGATATTTGGCCTGAGGCCCTTAGTAACATTTTTAGTGCGTTTAAGACCGGGTTGCTTTGGAAACGGTTGATTTTTATACTAGGCCTATAATGTCGATTTTCGAGCCGAGCAGAGCCTGGACTACAAGCATGAGAGATCAAGCACAAAGTCAGAAAATCCAGCTCGAGCCGATTTTATAAGTATTCAATACAATAATGCACAATTAAAAGTAAAAGCTTATATATCCGTGAGGATCACGCTCACGAAATTGAAAGAATAGGCCTACGCTTTTGACGCGATCGCGGATATCGACGAGAACATTTCCCCGCGGGTGACGATGACAGAGGCCACATTGGTTACAAATACGGACCTATTATTATGCAACCAATTTTGACTGCGCCGTCACACAATCCACGAGGACAGTTAATGCAACCCGCATAACTGATGACAATTCTTTTACTTAGGTTGGTAGATAATTTATATCGATCGGTCAAGTAATAGTATTAGTTTAGTTGTTGTAAAGTACTTGAACTATAGGTTTGAACAAATTATCATCATAAAAAAACATAGCCTATTTTAATTCTCATATAAATATTGTTATGATAGGGGACCCGCGTGGCTGAGCCTGTCACACTATCGCGGGCCCATGTGCCGGTAAAATTTACCGAAAATCCCGGTCAAGGCTCATGGGCCCCCCTAGCTCGCGGACCCCCCCGCACCGCGGGCACTGCGGGCCTGCTATCGCCGCCACTGTATTCAGGTACAACAGTTTTTTAAATTATTTAATAAGTATAAAACTCGGAGGCCACGTTGACTAAACCTCCCATACCAGCCAGGGAGGAGCTGGCTCCTGGTGGAGGCCTGCATTACTTGGTGTGGAAGACCCTAAATCGAATCAGAGTCGAGGTAACAAAATGCTCGTGATCTGAGACAGACTCCTGTCTTCTAACGCTTCCAACATTTTTGAAATTATGCAATCAATGGCATTCGTGGCTGATCTTCCATTAATAAAACCAAATTGACAATTAGAAAATATATTCAAATTTACCAAAAATGTGAATACCTGGAGATTTACAATTCGTTCAATCACTCGCCTACGATAAGTACTAAGATACAGGGCGATAATTTTTCTCCCCCTTTTTTTACACTGGTACACCTCTAAGACAGCTTTTGAGACTCAGGAAAAACACCTCCCTTTAAACAAGCATTAATACACATAACCAGGGAGCCAAAAGCTCACTCATAACAAACTTGATTATGTAACTAGACAGGCCAAACACATCCTCTGCTTTTAGAAGCTTTCATAGCCAACATTTCACTTTCCACTTCACCACAAGACACATACTGTACTTCCATTCAAGTTGGGTTTTGCATTTGTCAGATCTTCTTAGCAGCTCTTCCGCAGACACTTCCGGCTGGTCGATGGTGCTTCTGGCTTCTTCCACAGAGCTCATGAAGTATGTATTGTATTGCTCAGGGGTGATCTTTACTTCATCATCTTGGATCTTAATGGCAGAACTTTTCTTGATCAAATTTCATGCTGCCCTGTGCTTATTGGTGGCAGATTCAATGCTTCTTAAGCTTTGTTAACAGCTAACTTATACAATTTTCTGCAATAAACATAAGCATTACGATCAGTTTCGCCTGAAGTTGCTTCGTAGATTGTACGGTATGCCATTGTTCTATTCTTCATTTCCCTCTTGAAACTCAGGAGTATACCATGAACTCGCCTTTGGCTCGCTAGGGGCTCCGCCCCCAGGCCTCTTGCTGTTAGTCGTCATTTAGAATTTTGGAAGGGGTGAGAGGCCATCACCAAGAAGGCGGGGAAATTTCAAGTCCGTAGCACACCTAGAAGTGGTCTATAGAGCACTCTCAGCATTTCTCAAGTCTCTGTCAAATTTGAAGCAATAATTGTGGATTTCTATATATGTGAGAGGAAGTCAACATTTAAGGATATTTAAAGATCTTAGACTTTTGTAACTTGGGGTGACAATCCTGCTACATTGTGCCAGTCTATAATTATTTAGTCCAATGCACCAGAAGTGTTTTATACAGAAATATTAGGGGGTTGGAGTAAGTAGTTTAAGAACTGTTTTGGGAGGGGTCGGTTGAATTATTTGTTTAAGGGGGTTTAATATTTGATATATTAGGTACATTTAATGTAAAATAAATTCAAGACAGTCTCTTAAAGAAAATTATATTTCTTTTTTGTTGGCTGACGGCAATAGCAGAGTTGACAGTTCAGCTACCACTTGTTGATAGGTTAGTTGCTAACATTGGTGGCAATAATGCCTCTCAGAACCCAAAACATGAGGAGACCATCTCCCAAGGACAAAAGATAACAAGTTGGAATTTAAAATGCTTGTACAAATTTCTGTTTTGACATGAAAAAAGGTACATAATATGTTAAATATTATAATTATGTATGCACTTTACTTCATTTAATAAGATGTAGCCTACTGAAATTATTTTCATATTTTTAATCTTTGATCATATAAGAGTGGACCAGATCCAAAGATGAAAACCAGTGGTTTCCTCGTGACCGCAGTCTACGTCCAGACTGCCGACCACTATTTCACAAACTGACGTTGATACAAGAATGATTGATTTTGCCCAATATGGTGATATTACATTTTTCAGCCACCGGGTATTATTTTATTACTTTCTCATGACTGCTATTGTAAAGCAACACAAGCTATCATGTATTCAGTGTGTTAAATGTCATATAAACTATCAGAATTAAAAATTATCAGAGGTAAGTTAAGTAGCGACCGATTACTTGACTGATAAGTATTTGCAAAATAAATGTAGTTTTGTCATATCCTTTAGTCTATCTTAACTATATATGGTTTAGTTAATTTCAAATAAGATCAAGACAGATGTTTATTGTTTTCAATGTTTACATTTTACTTTCATAGTTGACTAGCAGAGTACCCGTACTTCGTACGGGGTTGGCATATAAGTTTATGCTAAATGCTAAATGCAGTTATACTCAAGCTTTGCGTTTGGAATGGGGGAGGACAAAGTTTGATAAAATTTGCTTCTTTAAATTGACGGTACACTAATGGTATTACACATCTACCATAGCCAAAATGTTCTACCACTTCACATAAACAATAAAGAAAAATAAATTATTAAGAATTCACAAAAAATCACAAATTAGACTATTCATGACATTAAAAACATAAACATAACTGTAAACAATCCTACTTTGACAGTTCTCATTGCGTATCACAGTTTTTTGCTGCTTAGTTCAAATTAGCTGTTTACATAAAAAATGTAAAACAAATTATAGTGTGCTGCACCCTGTTGGTAAATCTTATAACTTTTTAATGCTTTTGTATATCATAGAACCAACTTCTTTAGTTGAAACAGCTGAATAAATTCTTTAACTCCCTTTAAATATGAATACTCCTAAGGTTAACATGGGGAACTATAGAGCCACTGGGGTGGAGCCCAAAAGGATTTTTGAGATAAGAATATACCTATATGTTAATCGGGAATGTGAGCTATCATCATGCCAAATTTCAGCCCAGTCCGTCCAGTGGCTTATGCTTGATTGAACTTCAAACAAACAAACAAACACACAAACTTTCACATTTATAATATTAGTAAGATCATTACAGTAATTTATATAAAGGAGTTTAGTTTTAGTTATTTCAATAAAAATAGATACATTTTATCAAGTGTGATAACTTATCAGCATTAACAACACCAGGCCACCCGTTTGAGTCACAACAATTATTTGGCGACGAAGGAAAAAGAGAATTATTACATGTATAGATTACTAAAGTTTTCAGAAGTTGTGCTCAAATTATTTTGTATTCAAAATGAATGAAGATCATCAGTTCAATCAATTCCTTACTATCTTTCAAGAACAATAAAGACAACAGCAAGAACACCAGAACAAATTTATTAAAGAAGTAGTAGAAACTATTTTACAAAAGAATGGTCAACAGACTGAGATACCTCGGGTCAACTACTCAAATGTGGCTCCTTTTGAAAACTATGATCCAAAGAAAGAAAAATTTACATGTAACCAAGAACGTTTTGAAAACTATTACACCATGAAAGGTCTAAAGGACTTGACTAAGATTGGACAGCTACTGTGCATCTCTATCGGCAGTGATCACTATAACTATCTTAATTCTTTTCTAGGCCCCGAGAAACAATTGAAAAGTCTCAACTATGAAACTCATCACAGCATTCAAGCAGTAGTTGATTCCTAAGAAGAACGTTGTAGTATCTCAACACTATTTTCTAAATGTATTTAAAAAAGAACACCAATCAATAACAGAATTTGTGGCTTCCCTACAACGTGTTATTGCTGAGTGTGAATTTTCTGTCAAGTGTTCATGTGACCAGACAGTTTCAATTGCCAAAGTTTTCCTGAGAGCCCAGTTTATTCGAGGTTTGCGAGATGACTGGCTTACTGGCTACAAGAACAAATTCTACAGTCAACTGAAACTACTTTTGAAGGAATCCCTACCAGAGCAATTGCCCTCGAAGCATCAAAAATTGAATCCAGGGAACTGTCCAAACGTTCAAATTCAAATAATACGAATTTCAATATATGTGATTGTGACGATGTGAATAAAGTTTCACACAAAGCTAAGCATTCTCAATTACAAACCGGTAATCGACCTCCCAGACAGCAACAGCTTCATTCCTCACGATCTCAAACTCGTCCAGGTCTGAAATCTCTTGGAATTGGTAATCTTTGCTTCAGGTGTGGAAAAGACAATCACCAAGCATCCGAGTGCCGCACTGACAAATCTAAGCTCAAGTGCAACAAATTTAACAAGCAAGGACACATATCTAAAGTGTGCATTTCGACCCTTATCGCAGAACAGAAGAAAATCAATTCTCCCAGTGCAGCCAACTACATCCAGTGCTGTTCTCATACAGATTCTACATTGAAATTTTCTGACTACGGACTAAATAAAGTAACTAATGTCAATTCAAGCCCGAAGCTACTAGATTTGTTTGAAGTAAATAATGACTCAGACAAATACATGATCACAGTAAATCTCAATGGCAAACCACAACGATTCGAAGTAGACACAGGAGCAAAATTCTCACTTCTAGCTAAAAATGATTTTGACAAACTCAAATTGAACATTCCAATAGAATCAACTAACATTGCTTTTAAAACTTACTCAGGTAATATCATCAAACCTGAAGGGAAAGTTGAAATAAATGTTTCTTACTGTGGAAGATACGTCAATGAGGAACCCTACATTATTCCAACAGGACACGAAGCACTCTTGGGACGTCAATGGATAAGAGCACTAGGAATTCAACTGAACAAATTGAATAACAACACACATCAATGCTCCCACATTTCTCAATTAAAAAGAATCCAGACTGCTGAAGACACTTTCAAAAGACTGAATGCCATCTTTCCTTACCTAATCTTTCTTTATTCCTTATTATTTCTTTATTCATTTTTATTCCTTATCTTTCTCAACCTTCATATACACAGTCTTCACCTGCACGTTCACTACAAGTGGGGGAGAGGGTACAGGTTCGATTGTTCATGAATAATAAAAACACGTGGCAGTTTGGTCAAGTAAATAAGAAGCTTGGAAAAAGACACTATCTCGTAGTTCTTGACTCATCTGATAGAATCCTGAAGAGGTACATCAATCAACTACGCCCAACGCTGGTACAGAGGTTAAAAACGAAAAATGTTACATTCAGACCAATGCAGTCGTTTGATGTTCCCAGAATTCCAAGACAACCAGAAATACATAGGAATCCACAATCAAGATCCAGTTGCAGCTTCAGAACCAAGGCAACCAGAAGTACAATCTCCAGAAAGAGCTCAAGCTGAGAATGTCATACCACATCATGAGCAAGCTGATAATTCCAACGCCAGACCACAGCGTGAGCGTCGCATGTCCTCAAGATTTAGAGAATACCAGATCTGATTGAAAAAAAAATTGTTCTTAATTAGTGGGGGAGACTGTCATATCCTTTAGTCTATCTTGACTACATATGGTTTAGTTAATTTCAAATAAGGTCAAGACAGATGTTTATTGTTTTCAATGTTTACATTTTACCATAGATAAATCATACTCCCTTAGGCACAATTTGTTTTTCAGGATTAATTTTGCCAACAGTGTCATTTAGAGGCTTCTGACTATAACGAAGGTTTAGTAATTGAAAAAATATTTTTGTTCATAGAATAAAATTATAAATGCCTCAAATTCAATTTTATATTTTTTTATTATGAAATTAAACGGTCATAACCTAACCTAACCAACCAAACGTGCTGACAATGAAAAAATCTAATGAAGGTTTATTAATCGAAAAAATAGTTCTGTTCATAAAATAAAATTGTAAATGCCTCAAATCCTATTTTATAATTTTTTTATTCTAAAATTAAACTATAATAACCTAACCAAACTAACCAGACTTGCTTATAATGAAAAATCAAATGAAGGTTTAA